AAAAGCGAATCTGCAGTGTGAATTATTCTTTCTACATGTGTATGTATGATGATGAGTTTGACACTTTTTTACGATATCATATAAATCTGAATCCTCCGGTGGCAATTCACAACAAAATACTTCACCAATTCTACGCAAACCGTCTTGTTTCGAATGATGGATGAGGTTCTATCCAAAGGAGCATATGGAGATGAGGATTGCCACGAGTCCGAAACCCAATTCGCCTTAAAAACCCCCATTCCACATGAGATAAGAGTTACATACAGGCGGTCACCCCCAACATGTGTTCTCTCACAGTATCAGGATGGGTTGTATCATGTCCTACCCCTATGTATGGAATCCTGACATGAATCTGAGGCATAAGCACTAGGATTATCCCCTAACTTCAGGTATACAGACTGAATGAGAATATGAATCTGTCTGCAGACATGTAGTGACCAGCTACAGCACAGCTCATTTAAGACTTGATAGGCCAGACATTTTTCTTATAAATACATTCATTAAATTATATACATGCACACTGAACCTTGGATCATAGCATAAGTACAAGAATACCAATTGCAACAATATGACATATTAGGTAAACACTCTCCTGTGTTTAGAATAATTTATGAACCCCCTTTTTTTAGATCAGAAGATCAGAAACCAAGAGTTGTAAACCCTTTGGCTTGGTACTGTGGATATCGCAACCAACCCCCCTTGATTCCATAATAGGTACCGTAAATCTGGGAAATATGTGACTTGCCTGCCTACCACCGGGAGCGAACCCGGACTACAAGGAGTTTGTTACCCGGTCGCCACTCAGCCGGTTTAGCCAACTGCCTTAACGAGCCGGGCGTGACTGGCGATATGCAATATGAATTCATGTTAACCTCCTGACACATCCTTGCAATATTTTTCCACAATTAGATACAAACATCTAAGTTTTCTTACCTAGACAACTTGCAATGGTGTCAATGCAGATGAAAAGCGTGTTTCTGCAATCTCCAACTTGCGTATCAGACCATTTTTGCCTCTCTCCGTCCTAAGCTAGTTATAGTGTACCATAATTTTTGTGCCGCTTCCTGATTGACTGACTGAGTTTCTACCCCACTAGGACATCACACAAGCGATAAACACCAGATGACACAAAGTGCCACCACGTGGATTTGAATCACCCGTGGAGAGGTCACGGAAACCGCGTTCAGCCATTAGACCATATTTATGGCTGGGCTACATTGCTGAACCTGTCAAGAGCCAGAGTAGGGCTTCAAATAACGAAAAATTGCATCCCACAAAGGGATAACAAGATGATTAAAAAATAATAGCGTAACCATCAACTCAATTTTATATTAAAAGTGTACAGTTTATTTTCCTTGGAAAAAGTTATTCTTCCCCTTGACCAACAATGGAAAAAACTTAGAATAAAACTAAAGAACATTAGAAAAACACCACAGAACATCAAGTTAAATTTATGAATTCTTAGAACGGATAGAGAAATTAAGGAACAGTACAATGTCACTGTACAAAACCAGTATAATACAATGGAAATTATACAGACTATTGATGAACAGTGGGATATGTTGAGCCAATTCAGCAGAAATCTAAAGAGACAATCCCACCAACCCATACAGTTGCAAAAAAGAAATGGATGTCAACCGAAATTCTGCAGTTGAGGGATGAAAAAAGGAAGAAAAAGAATGATAAAGAAGAATACCACAGAATACAAAAAGAAATAGTGAACAAATGGCAAATGGCCAAAGAAGCCTGGCTGGATCATTTGTATACAGAGATTAGGGAAAACAACAGGAAAGACTCACATTCCATGTACCAACAGATAAATATGTTAACAGGAAAGATGACACGTAACAGCACTGGATGTTTGAAATCAAAAGATGGTGACTTATTAATGGGACATAGTAATATAATTAACAGATGGACAGAGTATATAGGGAAATTGTATGATGATAATAGACCAGATGTAGAACTGCAGACCAACAATGATGGTCCACCATATGAAGAAAGGAAAAGCACCCGGGCCAGACAACATCTCACTGGAAGAAATCGAAGCACTGGGAGATTTTGGAATTGAAATAATAACTTAACTTTTAAATGATATTTATAATAGTGGGTATATTCCAAATGACCTCTTAAAATCTATTTTTATAGCTCTGCCTAAGAAACCAGGCACTATCAAATGTGAAGACCATCGCACAATAAGTCTTATGAGTCACATGACTAAGATTTTACTGAGAATAATTATGAGAAGATTAAAAAACAAAATTAAACCAGAAATCAGCGATAAACAATGTGGATTTGTAGAAGGAAAAGGTACAAACAACGCCATATACATCCTACGGACATTGTCAGAAAGAGCTATAGAAGTAAAGACTGATTTGTACTTATGCTTCATAGACTATACAAAAGCATTCGACTGTGTGAAGCATGAAGGAGTAATCAAACTGTTAGAAAAATTAAACATTGATGGGAAAGATCTAGAAATAATAAAGAATATGTATTGGCAGCAAACAGCAGCTATAAGAATTAACAACTGTTTAGGTACATTTCAAAGCATAAAGAGGGGCGTACGACAAGGATATGTATTGTCACCTGATTTGTTTTCAATATACAGTGAATATATAATGAGAGCTTTAATTGGTATGCCTGGAATTGTGGTTGGTGGGCACAATATAAACAATTTACGTTATGCTGATGACACAGTCTTGATAGCAACAAGTCAGAAAGAACTACAGGAAATGATAGACATTGTGGTGTTAAAAAGTGGAAGAATGGGGCTCAGTTTGAATAATGGGAAGACAGAAGTAATGGTGGTATCAAAGAAACGAATTATTCCTAAGTGTGTAATAAAAGTTGATTGTGTTATTTTAGGACAAGTACAGAAATTTAAGTATCTGGGCATATGGATAACATCAGATGGAAGATGCATAACTGAGATAAGAAATAGAATAGGACAGGTAAAAACTGCATTTTATAAAATGAAAAACATCTTGTGCAATATATCCTTGTCATTGAGAGTTAGAAAAAGAATTCTTGCTTGCTACATACATCCAGTTTTAACATATGGCTGTGAAACCTGGACAATCGGTAGGCAGGCCAAACAATTTCTGGAGGCCTCGGAGATGTGGTTTTACAGAAGAATGCTTAGAATACCTTGGACAGCCAAAAAGAGCAGCTAAGAGGTTTCGAAAGTGGCGGGAGCCCGAAGACAACTTATCACAGACATCAGAAGGAGACAGCCATCATTTTTCGGCCATGTTATGAGAATAGGGAAAATAGAACATGTGGTGACGACTGGAAAGATATGTGGAAGGAGAGATAGAGGAAGACAACGAGAGAAGATGCATGACAGTCTTGTTGCATGACATGGAGGTGTGTCGGCACACGAACTGATACATGCTGCAGGTGATCGCAGATTATGAAGAGGCATGATCGCCCATGCCAGTCGGCAAGGCACCTGATGATGATGATGATGATGATGATGATGATGATGATGATGATGATGATGATGATGATGATGATGATGATGATGACCAACACATATTGGTAAACATTTGGACATTGAAAATGACCACTAAGAAGCAAACATTGTAACAATATCTGTTCACTATATTGCATTGTATTAAGCGTTAAGGGGAGGAACACTTTGTGATCTATTGTTTGATAGGTAGCAATGGCTGCTGTTATTCCGTGTCAGTTAGGAATATCTTTTATGTCATCAATCCATGTTCTCCTAGGACGGCCTCTTGCTTTCATTTCAGATCCTTTCATGTGTAGCGCCTGCGCTGGTATTGTTCTGGCTGCATTCTTACTAAATGACCAAACAATTTGTTCTTCTGTTTCTCAATAAATTTGCTGCATCGGATGGTTAAGTTGGCAGCTTTTCTTAGGCATCTAATTTCAGAGATTTTAATTTTACGTAGGTTAGTTTTTAAAAATGTCAAAGTCTGGCACTGGTAGCACAGTGTTGGCATGAATATGCTGTTTATAAGATGTTTCTTGGCGCTCATACCTGTGTTTGGATGTCTTAATAACAGTGTAAATCGGTATATAAGTGCACTGGCTCGTTGGCATCTTGTTTCTATTTCTCGGTGTATTCTTTCATCCTCTGAGAATATACTTCCTAGATATTTAAATTACGTAACTTGCTTTAGACAGATACCATTCAACACGATATGTAGCGGACTAGGAATTCTGATGACCATGTCGTCTTTATATATACATGAATTTAAGTTTTCAAGACATACTGTTTATAAGCCAGTTTTCTGTAACGTTCAGATCTTGTAAAATTCCTACACAGTATCGCAGTGGTTTCCAACCGGTGCTATGCAGAGCTCCAAGGGCTCAGCGCATGCGGCTGCAGCAGAAAAATAAATAACTATTGAATAACATTACAGTTTAAGAAACAGAATGCACTATCGTATACTTTAAAAAATACCCTCGCCACCGACCCGCCCATACCACCAACTTCTAAAAAAAAACACAGTTGTATAATAGGCTGTGATGTTTGATTCTCAAAGGTTAATAAAGAAAAAAGAAAAAAAGAAAGAAATGATGATTTCACTGTAGCCTCCTCGTTAATAACTGCACTAGTTAAGGATAGTCAGCGTCTGTAGCTTAGGTAATACCTAGGTGCCGGGTTCGATCCCAGCTGCAGACGGTTTGTCTTGCGTTGGTTTCAACAGTGGTACCGAGAGCGGGCGGTTCAGTAGCAAAGGCAAATTACTGAACGAAAATTTTGCCTAGAAAACCGCAACAGCCAAAACATGCAGGTGTTGGTTCTGCAACGTCCTGTACAGGATACACAACTAATTTAATTTACCTGAGAATGAGTATAATAAATAAAATAAACAAGTTATTTTTAAAATTGATATCATATGAGTGTTTACTAAGTTTAATAAATAGTCGAATGTTTTACAAAAACAAATGAGCAAAATATTTAATGCGGCAGCTGTAATTACTGTAGTTTGATTTCACTCATAGTCGAACTATATTTAACCAACCTGGCATATCAGGCATGGCCCAACCTTCTACTTTCTTTGGGGGCACTTGAATAACTTTCTCTGCTTCCCAGTCTCCTTTCTATAACAAGAAATAAACAGCAAATTGTTTCGTTTACTTTCTAAATAACTCGATCATCTTTGTATAGTCATTTTTCTCGGTTCTATTCACGAAGTACACACTAGCTGACGTTTCATTTTTGCTTTCTCAGCTTGTCTACGTTAGAGGGGTGTCACAGTATACTGTTTTCTTCTCATAGTTTTCTGCTTTGCGTGTTAATCGTTGTTGCCTGAGCAGCGGCCACCGATATTGCGTTTTCACTCGGAAGCAGAAAAGCGTTGCTTCCACGGGTCGAACGCTGCACTCTCTCGTGGGACATAAGCTGAGGTTGACAGGTAGGAGGTGGGGTAGGAGAGTTGGCGGTTGGGGCCAGTTCTAGATATCGCGTCATTCGCCAGTGATAGCACCGGATACGACGCCCCTGTCAAGTAGACCAGTCTGAGCAAGCATAAATGAAAGGTCAGCTAGTGTTTAGCCCGGCTGGAAATCGTAAAAAGAACTTTTTTTTTCCTTATTCCAGATAATAAATTATTTCTACTGCTGATGAAAGGTTTTCTCACACTACTTACACTGGACAACATATGTATACTAATTAAACTTTCACAAGTCTTTGTAAAGTTTTTCGTAAAGTATTTTCATTTTGTAAACGTTATATTTTGTGCGTGCCTGGTTGTGTACACATAAAGAGCCCTAGCTGTAAGGAGCAGTAAAGTGGCCAGGGGTAGAATGAAGGTTGTTTGTTTTAGTATCCAGAAGCTATGAGTTGTTAACCCTTATGCTCGGTATTATGGATATCGCAACCTTTCGGCCTTGATTCCATTGTAAATACCGTAAATCTGGGAGAAAATGTGGCTTTCCTGCCCACCCCCGGGATTGAACCCGGACCACAAGGAGTTCGTCACCCGGTCTCCGCGCAATCCGGTTTAGCCAACTACGCCAGAGAGCCGGGCGCGAGAATGAACGTTGAACTGCTTTAGTCATCGCGGCTCTGTAGCCAGTCAACAGTACTAGTAGGCAACCGTCAGTCCCTAGGGATCATGGAGTTGTGCCACTGATTTTTTTAACAGCGTTTGCTATGACTGTAAAGTCCAATGCGGGAATGGCAGTCTGCCACACAGACCACATAAAAACATTGATATATTATTCTGACGCTGACGTTCAGACATCTCCTCCATAGCTTGCTGCGTTTGGTCTCTTGCAAACTGCCATATCCTCTTTCATTATCTGCCTTTATAGGAGTCGATCTACATCTGATCTCTCCCAAGTGTCTGTGTCAATGTTAGTGTCTTTCAGGTCGAGATTGTATGTGTCCTAATAGCGCACTCTTGGCCTTCCTGCAGATCTTCCACTAGTTGGAATGTGACCTTCCTCCGTGCAAAATACATTTCTCAACCAGCGCATGCATCTGCTGCAGCTGAAACAGTAGAAGCAAGTACATTGCTGGCATTCCTGCTCCTTTGAGTACACCTTCGTTAAGGTTGAAATCACGCCATGACATTTTTTTTTTAAAAGGTGGGTTTTTTTTTTACAGCGCCTGTGGAAAGTACTTAGTTTTTTTTTTTTTTTTTTAGCAGAGTCCGATTTTTACAGCTGTAAAACGCGAGCTCAGAACGCGAGCTTTATCTACAGTACTTTAATTTTGGTTCTATTAGTAATCTTTTGGTTGTGATCTTGGAAAGCATAGCAAAAACCTTTCCTGTTTGTCTGCTTAGGTCTGCTTCTAGAGTGAAATCGTCTGCGATTCGAGATCCTAGATATTTAAACGCATGTACAAACAACAGCCTAATGTTGTAAACGCAAATGCATGTTGAGTTTACCACATCTATCCTCACCAATAACGTTTGTTGAGACTGATGGTGAGTTCAAATTCCTTGCATAGATTTGCAAAGCGATTTATGCGAAACTGCAAATCCTTTTCGGTATATGCAGGAATGGCTACATTATCCGCAAATAGAAAGTCTCTGAAGCATCTTCTCTTCACCTTAGTCCTTGCACGAAGCCTAAACATATTGAAAAGATTGCCGCATGACCTCGTACAGAGATATATCCCGTCCCTCGATCGTTGCTCCAAAAGCACGCTAAAGCACTGCAGTAAAGAAGGTACCAAACAATGTGGGAGCTAGAACGCAACGCTGCTTTGCGAGCTTTACGAGCTGGAAGGACATCTTAATATTCTTGTAAAAGATTCATTAAGGCTCCGATGTATGGGGGGAAAAGGGGGAAAAGGGGGTGGGGGTGGGGGGAGGGGGTTGGCATCCGTATTTAACAAAGATCCTAAACAGGCCATCTCTGATAACATAATTGAAAGCCCTACTGAGATCTAGGAAGGTTATAAACAGTGAGTTCTGTTGCTCAATGTACTTGTAAGCTGGCTGATGGAGAAGTTAATATCTGCTATTGATTTGTGGGCTCCGAACCCACTCTGTGATTGTCCACTTGAATCTGCAGTCTCTTCAGAATTATGCGGGCATTTAACATGGAAAATACTGCGATAGTTTTTCCAATCGCTCCTGTTTTACTTGTTTGCTTAGAGTGTTATGATGTTGGAATTGACATTTTAACACACATCGGTACGATTCATTCGTGCTCCGTTCCTCAGCCCCTTGGGCAGCGTACTCATCAGATGTTGGTATATCGTCTTTCGTTGCCCTGCAGCCTATTTCTGCACGCTTGTCCTCGTTTAATACAGTTTCCTAATAAGTGGGTTATCGACTCTTATTTCTTTATCTTAACGTTCTGGAACGCAGGGCATTCAATATGTCTGTCCTGTCCATACTTTTTCCTTCACTAAACAACGGTCGGCTCTTTCATTTCATTTCACCGCGGCATATCACAGTGTGTGCAGCTGTTTCTATCAATTCAGCAACGAGCCTAACATCTGGCTAATTGTATTCTCTGCTTTTGCCACCCAAGACCGCCCCTCTTTAGGCGCTTACCGTTGTTCACCCGTAGGAAGTTGTAGAGAGGGTATTTTTTAAAAGTCATCAGCAACACCCAAGTACGCCTGCCTTGGCCATCTGGAGACTAGAGACCATGTCTGGCATATTGAGGATGTATTGCATAGCGTGACATAGTTCTACTGTTACCCGATGATTGGTCTCATGGCTTTATTTTGCATGTCTCATCTTTCTATCTGACGTCTGCTGATTGTGAGGGGGCCAAGTCTTTAGTAGTCAGTTTGAGCATCAGTCTTTGTTGCATTTTAGCTGCCAGGCTTTTATTAACTTTTATAATCACAAGGAAATACATCTATCAAAGTGGATACTAAGATATTCAAAGTAAGATGACCTTTCCATATCATCTTCACCCATACTTGACAATGGGCGTAGGCATCTTGACAGCTCTGTTTTTTTGAGAACCATGTCACTGTATCCTTAGCTGGGTTTAATATAACCCTTGACTCCTCACACCATCTGGTCAATTTGTCAAGATCCTGTTGCAGTGCTTTAGCTGTCTCCTCTTTGTCTGCCCTATTTTTACGTCAGTACATCATCAGCACAGGACAGCGTGCATCCCAATCCCATATTCTCAATAAGTATTTTTTTCCAGTTACACGTATATTAAATGAAAAAGGCGACAGCACTGACCCCTGAGATATCTTATTGTGTGTCAGAATCTTCTGAGTACGACAATGTACTAATTCACACCTGTCTAAAGTCCCGTTAATTCACAAATTAGAACAGTTTTCCACAGGCCACTAATGTCTAACCTAAGAAGAAACGGTAAATGGCCTGTCCGTGTTGGTTACACAACTTCACTTACTGCAGTCCTAAAGAATCTAAAAATAGCCGAGCTCAGAGTGCAGCCAACATAACCTGTCGATTCATCCGGGTCGTGCAGAAATCTTATCTCAAGGGGAATAGCGCCTTCTGTACCCAGATCAATTGTTTGAATCTCCTTATGTGTAGACCAATCCCAGATATGCAGACTGTGACCATACATTCCTAAAAACAAACATAAATATCAGTTCCGGAATATTTAGCTGAAACTGGTTTACTTTTAAAAAACATAATTGCAAATTACTAGTCTATCAGGTTATTTTATGACGTTTCCCGCCAATCTAATTTGCTTGTTAGTCAATATTGCTCTCCTTGGTGAGTTTCACAGCAGTTTCTAAATTCATAATTGGAAAATGATAAACTCACTGTATAGACCTCCTTTTTTTTTTAAACCTAGAAAACGCAGTGTTTGCTTAATGCATACAGATACATTTACTTTTTTACGATATATATTTTTATCATGAAACCGTCTTGTTAGACTTTTGGAATGTTTACTTTCATTAATTTTAGGAAGTAATTATGATTCTGACTGGTTCAACAGGGAGTCAAAGAAAACCTACACAATTTCATGATTTTCTCTTGCAAAGTCGCGGGTTTTAGTGACCGGAAGGCAAAATAAGATGTCGGTTAAGGTTGTTTAGTCAAAGGCGCATCCACAAATTAGTGTACAGTTATTGTGTCATATAGACATCAAATTCCACATGAATTTGAAATGCAAATTAGGTGCTTTCTCAATATCCTACGCTAAACAGGAGAAATCCACAAGTCACAGGACTTTCTAATATTTCAGGCTGTATGCAGTCGTGGGACCTAGGCTGCATGCAGTCGTGGGACCTAGGCTGCATGCAATCGTGGGACCTAGGCTGCATGCAGTCGTGAGACCTAGGATTCACTCTCTCGTGGGACGTAGGTGGATTGGGGTTAGGTCCAGTTTTAGATGTTTAAGAGTCGTTAAAAGCATCAGACAGCTGGGAAACCCAGTCTTATTGGACTGTCCTGTGACGTCATCTGGGGTAGGATATTACGAAAGAACCGCACATTTAAAAACGATGCAGAAGGTTACCGTTTTACTGTACCAGCACTTCCTCAGGGAATCGAAGACAGATAATTTATATTGTGATATTCATGACCCCGAGAAACGAACACGATTGGCGCTTGGTCTGGATAGAGCATCGTTTAACCATTGGATTAGATAGGACACAGAGCACGCTCATGTCAAGCAAGAAAGGAAAAGGAAAATTGATGACAACTTTAATATAGATGTCATTAGACGTGAGATCTTACAAATGTTAGAGGACAAATCAACTTGTTGCTCTCTGAAAACTGAAATTAACATTGACATTTCAGAAAGGAGTCTGTGCAAAATTGTAAGAGCCACCGAATTCACTTCCAGGAAAACTGTAGGTGGAAGGAATAGTATTTGTAAAAGAGCCACGTTTGATTGCTAGTCGAAGAAAATATCTGAGGCAGAACCGCGAGCAACGGAGACAATGCTATGTTTTTGTATATTTGAATGAATCCTGGGTTAATGCCCACCATACCTATGCTAAAGAAAAACAATAAGTAAACGGTGAACCGTAAAGGAACATTCTAAGCAGCAAAGGCCAGCGCATATACTTGCTTATGCAGTAAGCAGTAAAAAAGGCCTTATCCATCTATGATGCTGGACTTATTTTCCAGCCAACAAGTACGGATGGTAGGGACTACCACACTGAAACGAATGGACACATTTCCAGGCACTGGATAAAGAATGATCTTCTTCCAATTCTGGACTGACCATCATGTTTGGTAATGGCTATGGCGCCTATCTTAATGCCGTATTAGAGGAAGATAAAGTACCAACGACATCAAAACAAAAGATCTAATTAGGACATGGCTTGCTAAGGAGAAAGTCAACGTTGACAACACATAGTCGAAAAAAAGGGGGAGGGGAATTATAGGCCGGTTCTAACTTTTGAAATTAAGGAGTGTCTGTCCACGTGCACAAAAATGCAGCTTTTAATGAGCAATAGTACCCACAAGTCTGCTCTGTGGCTAAGTCGATGATAACGCTTCGTAATGCCGGGATGCCGGGTTCGATCCCAGCTGCGGGTCATGCGCCTTGCGTTGGTTTCGACACTGGTATAAAAAAGCCCACCGTCCAAAAAGCAATGGCAAACTACTGGACGTAAATTTGCCTAGAAAAACTACACAATAGCCAGGGGCAGTTGGGGTTGGTTTTTCAACGTCCTGTAAAGGACACGCAACTAACCTGGAGTACCGACAAACCGCTTTTGGTAATCAGCGTATCCATTCTTGTGTTTGGACACTTTCGGACACAAACTAGTGCCGGTGAACAGTCTGGAAATGCTGGTGAATCGTAAGGACATCAACGACCAGAAGTTACATTCATTATCATGTAGAAGGTTTTTTGCAGAACGTCGCTCTCATCGCAGTCGGTATGGAAGAAACTCAGTCTTCCCTGCTTGTTGTACTTTGGTATTCAAGGAGTCATATCCTGTGTCCATCTTCGTGTCGGTCAGCCCCAGCTCTTCCTACCTGGTGCCATGCCTTCTGCTATATTTTTCCCAATCCGCTATGACACTTGATATGACCAAAATATTTCAGCTTCCGAGACAAGTCGCTGTTTATTGGCCAATCTTCCTTGACGTTCAGATCTTTTAGAATGCCAGTATTTCTTCTCTTCTTTGCCCATGGTATTCTGAGTATCTTTCTTTATCTTTTCAGCTCAAAAGCCCATATTTTATTTCTTAGGACTGGGAGATACTCCACGACTCACATCCATATGTTGCTACACAAAAGATGCATGCTCTCAAAATTGTAATTTAGTTTTTTTCCTTAACCATAGACTTTAAATGTTGTTTAATCTTTGCATTCCTATTGTCACACTCCTTTTGATTTCTGTCAAACAGTCTTCATTGCTATTTATTATTGAGCCTAGATATTCGAAGTTTGTGACATTTTCAATTTCTCCCTTATTTATTGTTATTTTTGGGTGACGGCCAGTTTTGTCTGTGGACATTATTTTCGTTTTCTTTAAATTTAAAAAAGATGTTGATCTTCGCTGTGTTTCAGAAGACATGATTAAATGTTCTATTCCCTTGACATAGTTCCAAAGGAGGACTGTGTCATCTGCATAGCGAAGTTCCGGAACAAGGTTGCCATCAGTTATAAAAAAGTTACATTAGCTGATGTTATAATGGAATGTGACTGCCCTTCCAAACAACAGTCATTGCTTTTTTCATCTAAAAGATAAAGATATTTTAAAAATTGTATTTATATAGGTCTACAGTATAATTTAGTCATCAGGACGAGTAAATTTATAACAGTTATAAAGTGATAATAAGTACAGTGGTCAATATGTTATTAAAATGTATTTGCAATGATTTCCGAGACCGATATTAAAGTGAAATTTTGTTGTTGCTAAAGAATATATAGACAGTTCGGGCTAGGAACAGATAAAATGATTTCTGTAATTCCTAAGTGATAAACTCGTTTGATATTAGTCCTTTATTATTTTTTTCTTTGACCAAGAACAGATTAATGACGAATATTGGAGTTCCACTGTGAATTTACTTGCAACAAAATGAAGTTAACATACCTTCTGCAACATGTTGGATGTTAAACCCACTTCTCCAGACGCGAGGGGGACCCCATTCTGTGCTGATCATGACGTTGTACCTTGGCTGGTACCAGTAGTCGTAGCCTATGCTGATGTGGCTTTTTTCCCAGTTTTCTAGAATGTCGAAGTTCTCCCCATCCAGCAAAATAAACCCACCTATAGACAATACACATGCATTCTTATAAGTGCCTATAAAACGGCCATCTTTTCGCTACTAAAGGGTTAAACATTAATACATCTCTTGACTGCATAATTACTAATGGTTAAAAAACAACCGATGAGATTATTGTTAATAACAGGATTACTATTACCCATGAAAATACTATTATCGATATAATTAAATTTAGCCATGAAAATACTATTACTCATAGAATTGCAGTTATACTCTTATTATAGAAAAGTATTCATTATCACACTGCTACACAGCAGTGGAATCATTAGTCGCCATGCACATTTATAAATGGTGCCATAAAATAACAGTTCAGTCTTTGTATATCTTAAGAATGCTGTGTATTTGTGTCTTAAATGTAAATGTGAATAAGCTATGTTGATTCTAGTGACATCAAACGGCAGAGGTACTGTCAGAAGTAAGATAACTGCATTTAGCTGTAGATAAGGTGGGCAAGTGGCGCGAGAGAATAGGAACCCACATACAGCTGAATGCTGTGGTTTTCATGAAATAATAGAAGTGTTAGGGACGAGATCCTGAACATCGTCGCAATCATATCAAGAGAAAGAATTAACCTAAATATCGGAAAATAGCTTATGACAGAAGCCTGTCTTTTAAAGTACACGTACAAAAAAAACAAAAAACAAAAAAAACAAAAAAATTGGTTTGAAAGATCAGGTAACGACTTGATGTTTTAACAGTGATGGTTTAATGGATATGAATCATACCCAACGGTTTCAAAAAATAACTTTTAAAGTGTCATAGAATTGGCAAAACTCATGACATTGTCTTGTAACTTATCGATATAGATGTTACGTCATAATGACGGTTTGAAGATGACCACCCCACTTTTGACACGCACCAAAGTGAAACAGCGTTCTGTTATCCAGTTTTTGTTTGTTGGGTTAGGACACACACACACACACACAAAAGGGGCTGGGGGAGGGGATGATACACGCTAGAGCACTATTTTGATATGCCTAATAGTTCCCGATAGGTGAAGTAATAAACATCCCACTGACGGATCTAACTTCTCTGGCCACCTTCTGGTAAACATTTGATACTTGGGGGAGCTGGAAGCCACGAGCCATTGTGACATGTGAAAAAAAAAAAAAGAGTGATGAAGACGACCATCGTCACCATTACTATCAGCTGTGACATTTCTCAAACAGCGTTGTGGATATAACAAGTTTGTGGCCCAGCACTCATACCACGTGGCTGTAGAATGTCTGTAACTCTTTTACAGCACAAAATTTCACCACACGCTTCTTTGTGTTTCAAAGCTCATATGACATGCTTGTTGCCCTCTATCACACACATGCGTGTGGGCAACAAGAACATCACATGCGTGTGTGATAGAGGGCAACAAGAATATCACATGCGTGTGTGATAGAGGGCAACAAGAATATCACATGCGTGTGGGCAACAAGAATATCACATGTATGTGTGATAGAGGGCAACAAGAATATCACATGCGTGTGTGATAGAGGGCAACAAGAATATCACATGCGTGTGTGATAGAGGGCAACAAGAATATCACATGCGTGTGTGATAGATGGCAACAAGAATATCACATGCGTGTGTGCAACAAGAATATCACATGCGTGTGTGATAGAGGGCAACAAGAATATCACATGCGTGAGGGCAACAAGAATACCACATGCGTGAGGGCAACAAGAATATCACATGCGTGAGGGCAACAAGAATATCACATGCGTGAGTGCAACAAGAATATCGCATGCGTGTGTGCAACAAGAATATCACATGCGTGAGGGCAAAAGAATATCACATGCGTGAGTGATAGAGGGCAACAAGAATATCACATGCGTGTGTGATAGAGGGCAACAAGAATATCACATGCGTGAGGGCAACAAGAATATCACATGCGTGTGTGATAGAGGGCAACAAGAATATCACATGCGTGTGTGATAGAGGGCAACAAGAATATCACATGCGTGTGTGATAGAGGGCAACAAGAATATCACATGCGTGTGTGATAGAAAGCAACAAGAATATCACATGCGTGTGTGATAGAGGGCAACAAGAATATCACATGCGTGAGGGCAACAAGAATATCACATGCGTGTGTGATAGAGGGCAACAAGAATATCACATGCGTGAGGGCAACAAGAATACCACATGCGTGAGGGCAACAAGAATATCACATGCGTGAGGGCAACAAGAATATCACATGCGTGAGTGCAACAAGAATATCACATGCGTGTGTGCAACAAGAATATCACATGCGTGAGGGCAAAAGAATATCACATGCGTGTGTGATAGAGGGCAACAAGAATATCACATGCGTGTGTGATAGAGGGCAACAAGAATATCACATGCGTGAGGGCAACAAGAATATCACATGCGTGTGTGATAGAGGGCAACAAGAATATCACATGCGTGTGTGATAGAGGGCAACAAGAATATCACATGCGTGTGTGATAGAGGGCAACAAGAATATCACATGCGTGTGTGATAGAGGGCAACAAGAATATCACATGCGTGTGTGATAGAGGGCAACAAGAATATCACATGCGTGTGTGCAACAAGAATATCACATGCGTGTGTGCAACAAGAATATCACATGCGTGAGGGCAACAAGAATATCACATGCGTGAGAGCAACAAGAATATCACATGCGTGTGTGATAGAGGGCAACAAGAATATCACATGCGTGTGTGCAACAAGAATATCACATGCGTGTGTGCAACAAGAATATCACATGCGTGAGGGCAACAAGAATATCACATGCGTGAGGGCAACAAGAATACCACATGCGTGAGGGCAACAAGAATATCACATGCGTGAGGGCAACAAGAATATCACATGCGTGAGTGCAACAAGAATATCACATGCGTGTGTGCAACAAGAATATCACATGCGTGAGGGCAAAAGAATATCCCATGCGTGTGTGATAGAGGGCAACAAGAATATCACATGCGTGTGTGATAGAGGGCAACAAGAATATCACATGCGTGAGGGCAACAAGAATATCACATGCGTGTGTGATAGAGGGCAACAAGAATATCACATGCGTGTGTGATAGAGGGCAACAAGAATATCACATGCGTGTGTGATAGAGGGCAACAAGAATATCACATGCGTGTGTGATAGAGGGCAACAAGAATATCACATGCGTGTGTGATAGAGGGCAACAAGAATATCACATGCGTGTGTGATAGAGGGCAACAAGAATATCACATGCGTGTGTGCAACAAGAATATCACATGCGTGTGTGCAACAAGAATACCACATGCGTGAGGGCAACAAGAATATCACATGCGTGAGGGCAACAAGAATATCACATGCGTGAGTGCAACAAGAATATCACATGCGTGTGTGCAACAAGAATATCACATGCGTGAGGGCAAAAGAATATCACATGCGTGTGTGATAGAGGGCAACAAGAATATCACATGCGTGAGGGCAACAAGAATATCACATGCGTGTGTGATAGAGGGCAACAAGAATATCACATGCGTGTGGGCAACAAGAATATCACATGCGTGTGTGATAGAGGGCAACAAGAATATCACATGCGTGTGTGATAGAGGGCAACAAGTATATCACATGCGTGTGTGATAGAGGGCAACAAGAATATCACATGCGTGTGTGATAGAGGGCAACAAGAATATCACATGCGTGTGTGATAGAGGGCAACAAGAATATCACATGCGTGTGTGATAGAGGGCAACAAGAATATCACATGCGTGTGTGCAACAAGAATATCACATGCGTGTGTGCAACAAGAATACCACATGCGTGAGGGCAACAAGAATATCACATGCGTGAGGGCAACAAGAATATCACATGCGTGAGTGCAACAAGAATATCACATGCGTGTGTGCAACAAGAATATCACATGCGTGAGGGCAAAAGAATATCACATGCGTGTGTGATAGAGGGCAACAAGAATATCACATGCGTGAGGGCAACAAAAATATCACATGCGTGTGTGATAGAGGGCAACAAGAATATCACATGCGTGTGGGCAACAAGAATATCACATGCGTGTGTGATAGAGGGCAACAAGAATATCACATGCGTGTGTGATAGAGGGCAACAAGAATATCACATGCGTGTGTGATAGAGGGCAACAAGAATATCACATGCGTGTGTGATAGAGGGCAACAAGAATATCACATGCGTGTGGGCAACAAGAATATCACATGCGTGTGTGATAGAGGGCAACAAGAATATCACATGCGTGTGTGATAGAGGGAAACAAGAATATCACATGCGTGTGTGATAGAGGGCACAAAGAATATCACATGCGTGAGGGCAACAAGAATATCACATGCGTGTGTGCAACAAGAATATCACATGCGTGAGGGCAACAAGAATATCACATGCGTGTGTGATAGAGGGCAACAAGAATATCACATGCGTGTGTGATAGAGGGCAACAAGAATATCACATGCGTGTGTGATAGAGGGCAACAAGAATATCTCATGCGTGAGGGCAACAAAAATATCACATGCGTGTGTGATAGAGGGCAACACGAATATCACATGCGTGTGTGATAGAGGGCAACAAGAATATCACATGCGTGTGTGATAGAGGGCAACAAGAATATCACATGCGTGTGTGATAGAGGGCAACAAGAATATCACATGCGTGTGTTATAGAGGGCAACAAAAATATCACATGCGTGTGGTCAACAAGAATATCACATGCGTGTGTGATAGAGGGCAACAAGAATATCACATGCGTGTGTGATAGAGGGCAACAAGAATATCACATGCGTGTGTGATAGAGGGCAACAAGAATATCACATGCGTGTGTGATAGAGGGCAACAAGAATATCATATGCGTGTGTGATAGAGGGCAACAAGAATGTCACATGCGCTTACAGTTGTGTATCTGATTCATTAATGGAACAAATTCTGTCTCATTGTGTCCCTGTTGAACTTCTCAAAACCCAAGTGCGAACTTTTAAAATTAAAAAAAAAAAAATGTAAGCTCAGATAATTAAGATTCAAGGAGTTAAAGTACCAACTGTTTGGTATCAAAATAATTAATATCACCAATTTATTTTCTCCGTTGTCAAGCATTGCTGTCCTCTTCATCCAGTCTTTTGCCTGTAAAAATATTAGCGGCGACAAAAGACATCCCTGTCTCGCAGGTTTTCTTATTTCAAATGTATTTGCTAGTTTTTCCCTCATGAAAAACTTCATATTCATAGGTGAGATACACTTGGAGCCACAATAAAGTCCTAAAAGACTTAGCGGACATTGTGGACCAAGCTCGGACGAGGGACCAACGCATATGCCAGCTGTACCGTTACCCCCATGAGCGTCCACAAGGCTAGGCAGATTTATGAAGTCAAAGTCAACAAGGTCGTAAACGCTCCATCAAATCTTGTCTGTGCGAGGGACTAGTTACTGGTTGTCAACCTGTCTGGTTTCGAGAGCTACCCAGAGTTAATCCGGAAGACCGGCCTAAGATCTCACATAGTTCCACACTCTGTGGGAAAACGCCAGCTTATCATGACTGAGCTGACCGTGACGTACGAGTCGCGGATCGAAGAAAATCACATTTACAAGCTCGAGAAGTACTTTGAGCTCGTGTCAGGTCTGAGGAGAGATGAAGAATACACAGTAAAAATCTTCGCCGTCGAGGTAGGCGCAAGAGGTCTTATCTCCAGTTCCATGTTTAATGTGCTAAAGCAGCTGGGCTTGCGATGAAACGAGCGTAAATTGTCACTAAAACAACTAGGCGAACTTGCTGAAAGAGCTTTGAGTTGGCTCTGGACACAAAGAAACGTCGTGGAGGATTGGCCTCGGTAGACTGGTCCGAGTTTCTAGTGGAAAAGAACTTCTTATCCCTTAAGAGCCAAAATGTCCAAAATGTCTGCCAATGTCAGGCTGTCGACAGCCAGAGACTAAATACCAAGTCTAACACCTGTCCGATAAACCAACCGAAAGCTTGTCACCATGGTCGTAAGGTAGTCGACTGATCTAGTTTGCTACCGCAGCGAAAATACCAATAATTCTCATAACACATGTGACAAATCACCATATCGTCTGTCCCTGGCCGAGAACATCCGGTAAAGTGCAGCAGGGAGGAAGATGGAGATCTGGGAGTCATACAAAATCAGAAACGGCAATGTCAAAAACTTATATAAAAGGAGATGCCAGGCTTGGTTTCATTTTCGGAGAGGACAAAAGAATATACCCAACAAGCATGTCGTAAAAGGGTTTTGCTAAAAGTCAATGTATTTCCACGAAATGCGCTGCTATCGCAGCCTAGCTGTAAAGTACAACGTACACGCTAACCGTCCTTTTAAGACCGAACGCAGAGGAAGAAGATTAAAACGCGGGAGCAGTCGACTTTCATAGCTTGATAAATGGAACGGCATTTATGCTGTCCTGTATTATTTGAAAACGGTTTACAATTTGATGTTGATCACCAGACTGACTGACTTTCTACCCCACCAGGACATCACACAAGCGATAAACACCCTATGACACAGTGTGATACCATGTGAGTGAGGAGCACCGTGTAGAGGTCCCAGAAACCGCGTTCAGCCATTAGGCCATATTTATGGCCTGGCTATATTGCGGCCCCCGGCAAGAGCCAGAGTCGGGCTTTAAATAACGAAAAATGTCATCCTAAAAAGGACGGTGAATAATATTCTACATAATCACCAGACCTCACAATGGCAGGCCTAATACAGATATGATCAATTTAATTGTTGTCTTATGGTCTGGGGATTTCTATTTTGCCTTATGTTTTTTTTTTTCATGCGAACATGCTTTGCCAATAGCATATTGGTTCTAAGCGCACTAAAATGGGGAATAATTCTGAGGTATTATTCGTTATTCCAAGTCCACGTGTTTCCATGATCTCTTTATACCACGCGGTATCTGATCCCATCTTCGCATCCAGTGCACTCATCAACAGGTATGTATGAATGACCCTTTCTTCTATGGCCTATAGTACCCCGTATTTTAAAGTTGCATATACAATTCCCTTTTAACTGCCTCATCCTTATCAATTGTCGGTGCGATCACACTGTGTTATTGCCATTTACACTTTCTTTTTCAATCTTATAAATTGTACTTATTATTTTAGATCTCACGTCTCTCATTCCATTAGTGCCCTCTCTACTGCTTTTAATAGCACCAGGACCACTCCTTCATTGTGTAGATTGGGGAGAAAAGGTGGGGTGGGGGGGGGGGGGGGATGTCGCATGTAAATAAAATAGTTCGAATTTATAATTCTAATACTACGTTACCCCTTCTGCCATTCCACACATCGTACAGGGTTCTAACATTCCGGGTGCCAGGTTTGGAGTCTTTTCTAGGTGAGAGAAATGCATCGGTGATTCAGACTTCTTTCAGCTTTTTCTACACTGCGTCCTTCTTTCAGAACGCCGAGAGGGGGGTTCCGGCGGGGAGGGGGGGGGGGGGGGGTCTTACATTATGTTAGACACTATCATTTCTCATTTGGTCTTGAATAGTTAAGTTGGCTGTTCTATGTTACACAGGTGAGCCTTTAATGATGTCCAAGTGTTTGTAATGAGTGTTGTTTATTATCTGTTTCTTGGTGGTCATAGACATGTTTTGATTTCTTAATTAAGGCATTGGTTGACATTTGAGTACACTGACCGGTTTGCCAGTGATGGTAATAAACAAAAATGTGTATTATATGTGTTTAAATTTGTTCTGTGATGAGTTTTCGACTTATTCTACAACAGTGACTGGTGGCTTTCGTCATTTTGTCATTTTATGAAGACTTTTGTTGTTCTCACTCTTTGAACTGTTGCCCTGAGCATCGCCAATGCAGCTGATCATGACTTCTCCACTAGCAAGACAATGTGAGGTATGAGGAGCACCTAGTCCAGTTTTGGAGTGGACATCATCAGGTTCGATTATCTGAAAATGTAAATTATTTGTAAACAAAATAAGCTCTAAACATAGTAGACTGTCCAACTCAAAACTATGTTTTAACTGTACAACTGAAGGTCAGGTCTTGATCACGGTTGCTTATCATCATAGAAAGGGACGATATGTGGCCAGTATAAACCTGCAGTCAACTAACGCGCCCAATACAGCCCAAGAATGACACACCAAGAGACATGCTGGCAGTAGAACCAACTACATCCAAGAACACTATTACAACTTAGGAATCAGATGATTGTACGATCGAACAAGCTTATATGCCGGCTGAGAGGGAGACTCCAAGCAACGCAAGAATGTCCAACGGTCCGGTCATCAAGACACGAGTAAAGATTTACCAAATAAATGAAGGAGGAACCAGACTCCTGGACTTATCGAGAATCAAAATAACCAGATACCTGGAGACTTCAGTGGGGATAGGAAGCATATGCAGAATCAGAAAAGACGCAGAGGGTCTGATCGTTACGCTGAATGAAACAAAAACAGAACGAAGAGAATTGACTGAGACATTGGTACACAGCCTACAATAGAATTACAGCTACCAGAAAAGATACTGGTTAGCAGCCAAGATGTTTCAAGGAGATCCGAAAGTGGGGGTGGTCAAGAGAGTGAATACTAAATGGTCAAACCAGGAGATCGCAGAGCACTTGAGGAGAGAAAACCCGAAGATGAGTATAATCAGAGCAGAGAGAATCATTTCCAAAGACATGAAATCAACAGTAGCAGTGGTGACGGACAGGAAGACGAGAGTAATTCCAGAAACAGTCAAGCTTGATAATAAACTACAGAAACCAGAGATATATATCCCAAGGGTACTCCAATGTTCCATATGTCAAAAGGGATTTCTTACCAAGTCAGTGTGCCACAGCAAAACAGAGATTTGCAGATATTGTGCTGACTCTCATTCCTATAATGAGTGTCCATTAGCAAAGCAAAATAAAAATGATCAAAAACCAAATAGCAATCGACGATGCAGCAACTGTTTTGGACAGCACGGGGCGAGGTATTTTGGATGTCCTTATCTGCAACATTGCCAGGAAATTCTCAAGATAGTAATTACTGAGAGAATACCATGCAAAGAAGCCAGAAGAAAATGCAAAGAATCTGAAGACTTCACCCCAGTGGAGAAATCCAGGATGCAGAATCAGATCAGAAAGTTAGAAGAAGAGGTCAAGATATTAAAGGCAAATAAGCTGACTCCAAAGAAAAACATGCCAGAAATTGATGACCAAGCAAGACAGATACTTGCAGAGATGAAAGAGATGAGAGAGATATTGAACTACAATATAAAGACACGTAATGACATAAAAGCAGAAACAATAGCAGCACTACAGGAATTGCAGAAAAAGCAGGATGAAATCCGTGAAGACAACAACTCCAAGCAACCCAAAATAGACCAAGATAACAGCAAAAAGCCAATAGTCGATAAACCGAAAGAAACATCGATGAAGGAGTCTACTGGCAAGCAGCAAGAACTTGAAGATAGACACAATACAGAAATGAACAGAAGATTTCCACCAGGAAGCATCAAAACCAAAGAAGACCGAAGAAAACAAGCTCAATACGGAAAGAGACTGAGGGAAGAGATGAGAGAGACGACAGAGAAGACAACATCCACAGACACCTACCAGCCATGTCCAAAACGTCAAACAACACAGAGGACGCCAGACAAAGATGAGAAGGAGAAAAACAGCAGCAAAGATGGAAAGACAAAATGACATAAAAGTCCTTGTAATCACTAAGCATTATTACATCCTAGAAGCCAAGACAGAGCAGAAAAACGTGACGAGGAATAGAAACCAGACACAACCAATCAGAAAATGGGAAATTACAAGACGACGAGAGGATAGGACAGAGAAAAAAATGCAATATTCAGATGTGTCATATCATAATCAGGAACGAAAAAAGAGACACAATTAAGAAAGAGAAGACCCTTGCCTCCGGATACAACAACATCAGGTATAAAACAACTCTATACAAGAAAGAAGCAACATCAGTTAAACCGTATAGAACAACACAACAAAATGGAACCGAAGGAAACCATATTCAAACAAACCAGTCTCAAATAAAGATCGCAAATATAGGCATCAGCTACATAGCTGAAAATGTCTGAACGTGATCAAATTATCCTTTTATTTTACAAGAAGCCAGCCAGCCAAGGCCAGGTCTTGGAGCAATCTTCATACATTATTGTACAATTGAAGGTCAGGTCTTAGAGCAATCTTCATACATTATTGTACAATTGAAGCTCAAAGCTTAGAGCAATCTTCAGACATTATTGTAAAAGTCTTGGCTAGCAGCAAGTGACCATCTTTGCATATGCTCTAATGTGTAGAGTCTCAATTGTGCACTTTTTGTCCCATTCTCCGCTTTGTACAAACACTGAGCAATTACTGCAGTACTCTACTCTATACCAGTACTGGAAAAAACTATACCAGCCAGATGTATGAAAATTGTTTTAAACCAAATAATCTATGCAACGATTAAAAAAAGCAAGCGAGCCTAAACATCAACCCTCCAAGTATGATCTTGTCCATCACAAGAAGATGCGAAAAGATGAGAACATTGATTCACAACATCAAGCAACCGAAATCCTGTATAAACCAACTATGATGTTACCTTGTGAATTCGTGGCTGCTTGGGATCTGCTCCAACATCAATGACATAAATTCTGTCGCTGTTAAGAGCAGGTAGTATTAGTTTATTCCGGGCCTTGGTTGGATCGTCATGACAACTAGAACACGCATTCCAACCAGAATGATGCAGCTCGTCCTCAAGAAAGGGCATAACCAGACGGTGTATCACCTGACAAGAGACAATTGAACTAGTCTTATTGTTGTCTTGCTTTAAACTGATAATCTTTGTAGTACATGCATAATCTAGCATTTAGTAAATACTTTTTGAGCTCAACACTATTAGGTTTTTGTCTCCCCACCCCACCCCCACCCCCACTGACCTATCCTGACTTTAATGCTAATGCTCATTGCTCGTCTTATCTTAAAGAATCGCCTTTTTCGGAAAATTGAGCTTTTTTTACAAACATTACTTAGCATTAGTACTCGTACAAAACGGAAAGTTGGATAACATCAAGATGGAAATAAAAAGAATGAACATCAACATATTAGGAATTAGTAAAATGCGATCGCCAGGAGCAGGTGAAAAGTATTCAGATCAGTACAGAATTATTTACTCGGGTGGGAAGAAATATAGTAAGGGAGTTGGTATTATTTTGGATCAAAAGAACTCAAAAACTGTGAAAGGATTTTGGACAATATCAGATAGAGGACTATTAGTAAAACTTCGCGGCAGACCGTTGTCATCAACTTAGTACAGATTTATGCCCCAAAAGCAGATAGTTCAGAGGAAGATATTGACGCATTTTATGACGAGTTAGACATGGCTGTTGATCAATGCAAAAATTGTGAAGTAACAATGGTACTTGGAGATTTCAACGCGAAAATAGGAAGTGAAAAAGTGTACGGAATAACGGGTGGCTATGGCCTAGGAGAAAAGAATGTGAGAGGTGACAGATTAGTAGCATGGGCTGAGTCACGCAGCATGATAATAGGTAACACCTGGTTTAAACACCATCCTCGAAGATTGTGGACTTGGAAAAGTCCTGGTGATAATGTCCGCAATCAGATTGATAATATTTTGATTTCAAGAAGATTCAGGAGCAGCTTAGTTGGAGCAAAAACTAGACCTGGAGCAGACTGCTTTAGTGACCATGTTCCAGTTGTAGGAAAAATTAGAATAAAACTAAAGAACATTAGAAAAACACCACAGAACATCAAGTTAAATTTAGGACTTCTTAGAACGGATAAAGAAATTAAGGACCAGTACAGTGTCACTGTACAAAACCGGTATAATGCAATGGAAATTATACAGACTATTGATCAACAGTGGGATATGTTGAGCCAATTCAGCAGAAATCTAAAGAGACAATCCCACCAACCCATAGAGTTGCAAAAATGAAATGGATGTCAACCGAAATTCTGCAGTTGATGAATGAAAGAATGAAGAAAAAGAATGATAAAGAAGAATACTCTAAAATACAAAAAGAAATAGTGAACAAATGCAAAGTGGCTAAAGAAGCCTGGCTGAATCAAATGTGTACAGAGATTGGGGATACATATGTTAACAGGAAAGATGACACGTAACAGCACTGGATGTTTGAAATCAAAAGATGGTGACTTATAAATGGGACATAGTAATATAATTAACAGATGGACAGAGTATATAAGGGAATTGTATGATGATAATAAACCAGATGTAGAACTGCAGACCAACAATGATGGTCCACCAATAATGACTGCAGAAGTTGAAGATGTAATACTTCATATGAAGAAAGGAAAAGCACCCGGGCCAGACAACATCTCACTGGAAGAAATCGAAGCACTGGGAGATTTTGGAATTGAAATAATAACTAAACTTTTAAATGATATTTATAATAGTGGGTAGATTCCAATGACCATTTAAAATCCATATTTATAGCTCTGCCAAAGAAACCAGGCACTATAAAATGTGAAGACCATCGCACAATAAGTTTTATGAGTCACATGACTAAGATTTTACTGAGAACAATTATGAGAAGAATAAGAAACAAAATTAAGCCAGAAATCAGCGATAAACAATGTGGATTTGTAGAAGGAAAATGTACAAACAATGCCATTTACATCCTAAGGACATTGACAGAAAGAGCTATAGAAGTAAAGACTGATTTGTACTTATGCTTCATAGACTATACAAAAGCATTTGACTGTGTGAAGCATGAAGAAGTAATCAAACTGTTAGAAAAATTAAACATTGATGGGAAAGATCTACGAATAATAAAGAATATGTATTGGCAGCAAACAGCAGCTATAAGAATAAACAACTGTTTAGGTACATTTCAAAGCATAAAGAGGGGCGTACGACAATGATGTGTACTGTCACCTGATTTGTTTTCAATATACAGTGAATATATAATGAGAGCTTTAATTGGTATGCCCGGAATTATGGTTGGTGGGCACAATATAAACAATTTACATTATGCTGATGACACAGTCTTAATAGCAACAAGTCAGAAAGAACTACAGGACATGATTGACATTGTGGTGTTAGAAAGTGGAAGAATGGGCCTTAGTTTGAATAATAGGAAGACAGAAGTAATGGCGGTATCAAAGAAACGAAATATTCCTTAGTGTGTAATAAAAGTTGATAGTGTTATTTTAGGACAAGTACAGAAATTTAAGTATCTGGGCACATGGATAACATCAGATGGAAGATATATAACTGAGGTAAGAAACAGAATTGGACAGGCAAAAAAGCATTTTATAAAATGAAAAACATCTTGTGCAATATATCCTTGTCATTGAGAGTTAGAAAAAGAATTCTTGCTTGCTACATACATCCAGTTTTAACATATGGCTGTGAATCCTGGACAATCGGTAGGCAAGCCAAACAATTTCTAGCGGCATCAGAGATGTGGTTTTACAGAAGAATGCTTAGAATACCTTGGACAGCCAAAAAGAGCAACCAAGAGGTTTTGAAAGAGGCGGAAGCCCGAAGACAACCTATCACAGACATCAGAAGGAGACAGTCATCATTTTTCGGCCATGTTATGAGAAGAGGGAAAATAGAACATGTTGTGACCACTGGAAAGATATGTGGAAGGAGAGATAGAGGAAGACTACGAGAGAAAATGCTTGACAGTCTTTTTGCATGGCATAGAGGTGTGAACTGATACATGCTGCAGGAGATCGCAGATTATGGAGAGACATGATCGCCCACGCCAGTCGGCAAGGCACCTGATGATGATTACTTAGCATCCACCATTCTATGGTATGAAGTATAATCCTTCTTCACCCACACAACGTTATATACACATGTGTTCATACAAGCGTGCATATGGGGATTGAAATAATAGACTGCAAAGAAACAGCAGTGTGAACATAGAGACAAGTTTGTGACGACTGGCACATGTGTTTTGGACAGCAAAAAAGAATGTCAAATATACATGACTAATTTATAATTTTAGCCATGCACACAAAGGTCAAGGCAATTCGAAAGTTAGTTTCAGAAGTTGAACGACATGCACGGTATGTTAATTCACAGTAAGACAACAGAAAAACGAGATGCTTAAAAAAAAATCCGGTCTTTCACCGTTACTTATCAGCCATCATATTTCCTCCAAGGATTGTGATGGAAGTCATACAATTCTTGATAAAAAGTACTTGTCTTCCTGTTGGATGCAATCATTAGACAATGCATCCCACCAACTTTCCACAGACGCGAAGAAGAAAAAGAAAGCCGGGTTTTTGTCATACATGACCTTGGCTTAAACGGGTAAAAGGTAAAGCCATGTGAAGTAAAGACAGTCCATTTAGGGCGGATTGGTCTATTAGATATGAATATAGTCTTTTTTTACCCAGATGCGTCGCTGGGGTGTAAAGGGACCTGTTGAGATATATTTAGGAAATACAAGTGCTGGCATGTGTGCAGCCCAAACCCCAAACCAAATAGCAGCAGTATGCTATTCTTTTTCTTCTTCTTCTTCTTCTTCTTCTTCTTCTTCTTCTTCTTCTTCTTCTTCTTCTTCTTCTTCTTCTTCTTCTTCTTCTTCTTCTTCTTCTTCTTCTTCTTCTTCTTCTTCTTCTTCTTCTTCTTCTTCTTCTTCTTCTTCTATTTCTTCTTCTTCTTCTTCTTCTTCTTCTTCTTCTTCTTCTTCTTCTTCTTCTTCTTCTTCTTCTTCTCTTCTTCTTCTTCTTCTTCTTCTTCTTCTTCTTCTTCTTCTTCTTTCTTCTTCTTCTTCTTCTTCTTCTTTCTCTTCTTCTTCTTCTTCTTCTTCTTCTTCTTCTTCTTCTTCTTCTTCTTCTTCTTCTTCTTCTTTCTTCTTCTTCTTCTTCTTCTTCTTCTTCTCTTCTTCTCTTCTTCTTCTTCTTCTTATCTTCTTTCTTCTTCTTCTTCTTCTTCTCTTCTTCTTCTTCTTCTTCTTCTTCTTCTTCTCTTCTTCTTCTTCTTCTTTCAATATAGGCTTTGAAAGGAGGAGGCCCTGGGTATTCCCACAGACAATAATGGGAACGCGATTTTGACAGGTGTGGGGCCCGAGCATCAGTCGACAATTCCCATCAGGGTACCACTGGGTACCCCACAGTTGACAATTATCGCCCTTAAGAGGAAACATTATCACTCTGTAAATTAAACATTATCACCCTTTAGAGGAAACATCGCTCTTTAGAGGAAACATTATCACCCTTTAGAGGAAACATTATCACCTTTTCAGAGGAAACATTATCACACTTTAGAGGAAACATTATCACCCTTTAGAGGAAACATTGTCGCTATTTAGAGAAAACATTATCGCCGTTTAGAGGAAACATTATCGCCTTTTATAGGAAACATTATCACCCTTTAGAGGAAACATTATCGCCCTTTTATATAAATCATTATCAGCCTTTAGAGGAAACATTATCGCCCATTATTACTTTTTAGAGGAAACATTATCGCCCTTTAGAGGAAACATTATCACCTTTTAGAGGAAACATTATCACCCTTTAGAGGAAACATTATCGCCCATTATTACTTTTTAGAGGAAACATTATCGCCCTTTAGAGGAAACATTATCACCCTTTAGAGGAAACATTATCACCCTTTAGAGGAAACATTATCGCCCTTTGGAGTAAACATTATCACCCTTTAGATGAAACATTATCACCCTTTAGAGGAAACACTATCGCCCTTTAGAGGAAACATATCACCCTTTAGAGGAAACATTATCACTCTTTAGAGGAAACATTATCGCCCTTTGGAGTAAACATTATCACACTTTAGAGGAAACATTATCGCCGCCTTTGAGACCCATCATCGATCGGTACCAGTCTGGCACGGATCGATATGCACTGGCTTTGCAACATCTTATACTACTTAAATCATATATTAATGTAATACAAAGTAAACAGTTTGCATTTAGCAATTAAAAAAAAAGCCTGCCTACACACACTACATGATATTATACACACTTGTTGACAGTTATTGTTTAGTGGCCCCGTCGTCAGATCTAGAGAAAATATTAGCACAAGAATCACCTTGCAGTAAGTCTGGGAATCCGGATCTACGTCAATGGTTGCTAAGTAATCTGCTTTCAGTTTCTTCTGCTCTTGGGGTACAATGCAGGGCATGTACAGGATCTTTTCTCTGGGTCCTTTCTTCATTGCCTCCTTTGGGCTGGCGTACCCAGGACCTTTGCAGCATTTTGAGCCAGAGGAAGATTTCTTGCTTTTATCTGGTGTTGCTGGTTAAACATTAAAAAAAAAAATGTTGATGTAATTATCATTAAAGCTTTAACGTTATCGTTGCTGTGTACCAGGGGCTTGCTTGGACTGCTGCTTCACTTTGTTGCGAAAATCATAAATACTGTATTGAAAATCATGTTTACATCAAATTACATAAAGAAACATCAATTTGCAGGAAACGGTCATCACAAAATGTACTGACCAGTTGTGGGAGAAAATATGGAAAGAAAAAAGTATGGCACTGACAACATAGGTTGGGAATAAATATGCTTTGTATGAGGTGTTTCTTTGTGCTGATTGGGATTGTCTTGTGCTGTAAGAGGGAAGCTAGCTGTTCCAATACTTGGCCTGCTTAACTGCATCGGATGTTAATTTCTCATTGTTGAAATTATTGATCCTACTTTGATCAACTGGATCAGTGGCCTCTTTTTGAAAGGACGGTAGTTCTGCAGTGTGGGACGTGAGTGTAGAAACAGTGGATAGCCACCCTTAACCCATATCCCTTGTTCAATTTATTGTGTGCAAATCATGGTCATACGCATTCAGAATATGGGACTGGAAAGCATTATGTCCTTTGCTAGGGATGTACTGACGCATCAGCAGGGTACAGACAGAAATGAGACAGTTAAAGCACTGCAGGAGGAACACAACAGACTGTGAGGAATCATGGGCTAGACCAGTGTTCTCCGTCCGTATTCAGGTGGCGCGCCCTATGAGTATTAGCAGGACATGCCAATGTTAGTGCTTTTTGTGATATCGACATAACGTTAGACCTTCAATATCTTGGTAACCACTGTTATAGATCTTTGTTTTTGCGATATTATATCGATGATTTTATTATGAAAGCTAATAAAGGTCTGGTGGCACTCAGGGTGATGGTAGCAGCTACTTTAAAAAAAGGGGGCGGGGAGGGGGGGGGGGTCTTTAGCAGGTAGCAGAGGACACCATGTGGAATATGTCAGGCTCAGTGTGCAATGGATAGAAACACCAGGCAAACTGCAGGATCACGCTGAGATTATAATCACATTGGGCAGGTACTGACGAAAATGGAGCCAAACAATCGTTGATGCTAAAATAAGGGTCTTAATCAACAAGTACACTTGACTAGGTGATGTCATCATCTATACAGATGGCTCAAGGACTCTTGAGGTACGGTCTGGGTGGGCATACACAGCACAAATGAACAGGAAGACAGTCAAAGAGGAAAGACAAGCATTGAGTTCAATTACTTCTAGCATGACGATGGAGAAAGCAGCAGTCTCATGGGCACTTGCATGGCTGACGGGACCGAAAGCAGCCAACGCATTGTTAGTGACAGACTTAATGAGTCTCAATGAGTGCTTAAGAAGATCTAGACTGAAAAACGCCATCTAGAATAAGTTGACAGCATCAAGATGTCCCGCCTCAAAAAAAAAAAAAAAAAAAACACACACATACACACACACACACACACACACACACACACACACACACACAAACATCTTGGCTGTACAGATACCGGGATACGCTGATAGACGCGCTGTCTTCGAGAAAACTTGATACAAAGCAGTCAGATAAGATGAACCGACTGATGGAAATGGGTATTAAACTAGGAAAAGCACACAGAAACCTGTTGTGAGGACTTAAGTTTTGCTAGGCTTCTAGAAAATGGAGACAATGAGATTCCTGCAGCATCGAAAGATTGGACCGATCTGCTATGATGTCGATATGGACAACAAGTAGTAAGTTATGTAACTTTAACATAGCTGTGACACAATCATGAACAATGTAATGTAATGACCTGGTCTGGACTACTGTTCTTACCTATTAATTATTGCTTCACATTAGCAGTATTTTAAATTTCCTGATTATAAAGTGAAAAAGGTGAATGAGAAGAGGGATAATCAACCAAGAGTTAGTCCCCCATTTTTATCACTTTCTACTTCCTTTTCAAGACACACGATAAAGCAGCAGGTGGTCTTAACTGCAGTCACTATTGTGTGTTTGAAATCCCTACCAGGGGTAAGTAAACAGTTAATATTATTCTAATCTGATCTATTGCTGCTAATTCCTCTGAATTCACAATATCTGCTAGACTCTACAAAACTTGCTGCCCACATATGGGAGAAACCTTGATGAACTTGTTCTCCTCACTATTTTTATTCTCTAGTATGTACATGTGTGCAAACATATTATATATTTGTTAATTAATATAATTTTTTTTAAACTAGAGACATGAATTAGTATATTTGATTATTATAATTATATTTAATAATTGATAATTTTTGTCCGAATATGAAATTTCGGGCCATTTCCGATTTCCAGCATGGTGAGACTTGATTAATGAAGGAAACAGATGCATATTTACCATACCTAAGCCTTACTATGTTTATTTAACCTCATGGTGTTTTAGTTTAGATTAAGTCCACATAATTTTGAGACTAGTTTGAGAACCTGTAAAGATTATGCCACGCCGTGGCAAAATTTATGAGATTTACGGTTGAGGAAGAAGAAGGGATGTGGGCTCTCCTTCGAACTTCGACCCGATATTATGGCAGCCATAAAATATCCTTACGAGGCTCAGGCATATGTAAAATACGGACTTTCTGCCAAAGTACAAATCGCGGCAAAACTAGGATTACTTGACAATTTCAAGAGACGCAACATTGCAGACGATAATAGCGACCGTTGACGATTTCGAGCGTTTCTGCAGACGATAGTAGCAGACGATAATAGCAACCGCAAAACGCGATTTAATACCGATCGTATCCCCGCTCCGCTACGCGCGGCGCGGATGGGAGGCTAAGCTAGGTGTCTGGGACTCACGAGCAAAGTAATTGGAGGAAGTTGCAGGAGATGCAATAGCTGCTGCTTGTGAGTCCCAGCCATCTAGTTTAGGGGGATACGGTTGGCGGTGAGGCACAGTCACAGATACAGGTCCGCAAGTAACATATCGCTGAGACCCTGTTAGAGCATTTGTTTCGTTATACAGAGCCGGCATATTTTTAATAGAAATGAGCCACGTAAGGATATTTTATAGCCGCCGTAATATCGGGTCGAAGTTCGGAGGAGAGCCGGGATGTGTAAGGCCCATGCTCGTATTAATTATTGTTATATATCATTCTCCATTACCAGGAATACATTTTCAGTAACACTGTTTGTGGCTCTATAATTTTAGAAATTATATTTCACCTTTACCAACTACCCAACTCTGTTGAATAAAATTTAGCACATGTATTCATTCAAAGGTAAACTGGAATTAGTGTTCAATATTTTATGTAAATAATGTGTTATGACATTTATCCCACTACCTAGTTATACTGACTGAGATATGTCCAATTCCAATTATTTTCAAACAGCCTTACTCACTTGTTATGAGTTTCACACCCATGTTAATTCACTTCCTGATTCTGAATTTTTGTGACATGACCCTATGTGATTGAACTGAGATTATATTTTGAAACGTGATTGTGCTTAAGCATGATAACCACTAAAAGGAGAGCATAACAATTCACACAGTGGAATGTTTTCTCTCTCAGTGACGTTAAACCCATGTGCTTGGAAATAATATCCTCGAAAAACACGTGGATAGAATATTCCTTATATCATCAGGAGAATGGATTCTTTTCAGTAAATATTATTCTTACCCCACTCAAGAATATAAAAACATGTTACGTTCCTACTCGTTATGTGCGTATATAAGGACTGGAGGCAGTGTAGCCTTTAGTAAGAACTTTCCCATTGCCTGTACAGGGACCAAAGCTCTAATGTAGCTGCTGGTGTCAGATTGTCTAGACTGGCCTAGAAGATTCGACATGCCCTGAAATGTCTCCGAGGCTGAGCCAGAAGCTAACTTAGGGAGCACGAACTTCAGAGGTGTGTATAAACCGGTCCACTGCGACAATCGGGAAATTTTATCTCCACTGTCCCACGACTAACAGTTTCAAATTAAATGTCATTTTTGCTTGTGTCTCTTGCAGTTTTGTGAAGTTCATTTTAACTGCCGTAATCATTTTATGTCATCGAGCAGTAGCTACAATAATTTAGCTATAAATGTATTAGGGCTGTACCGAATATTCGCTTCGGGGCCTAATAGTGGGCCTGTTGACTATTCGGTATTCGGCCGAATAGTTGCGGTCGGGCCGAATACGAATAGTAGCTACCTTACACCCGCTTCTGCAAACACGGCCTTAATGCTGACAACATGGAACGATTGGTTTTGTTGAAAGCTAATGCAGCTTTCCTGCATTAAGTAAGCTGTCAGTGACAATTTCCAAGTTTAGTTACTTGTTATACAACTTAGGATTCTTTCATTCCTAGTTATTAGTTACCACAGACTGACTAAAGGATGCATAACATAAAATGTTTTTAAACGTTTACTATTCTGTACAAATACTAACTAGACATGGAAAGAATTCAAACTCTGACAACATCCAATTCGATAATATGAAAATCAAACGAATGGAAACACATAAGTACTTGGGTGCAAACTACAACTGCTCCAACACGCTGAAAGAAGAAATACAATCTAGAATACAGTCTATAAGTAAAGTATACTATGCCCTTCAACATCTGTTAAAGTCAAAGTGCCTTTCTCGTAACACAGAGATCAAAATATATAAAACGTTGATGGGACCAGTCATTTTAATTGGCTCTGAAACTGGAAGCAGAAATAAAAGAGATGAGGCCTTATTAAAGGTTTTCGAAAACAATCTGACGACAAATCTTTGGACCCATCAAAGATTCTAACAGCGGGGAATGGAGAGTGAGAAGCAACAACGTAACACATAATCTATTTAAAGCACCATTTATCACTGGCATCATGAAAGCTAAAAGACTAAAATGGTTGGGGCATACTAAAAGAATGTCAGATGACAGAGAAGTAAAACTGTATACACCTGAGAGAGGAATGGGCGTAGACCAGGTGGTAGACAAAAAATAAGTTTGAGAGATAATGTTCAGCCAGACGTGCAAACAACTGGTGTCACAAATTGTGAAGAGAAGATCTGGCAGTAAACCTCAAGGGATCAGAATGCTAAAGAAGAAGATGACTGTTCTGTGCTACTTTATGTGGAGTAAAAGTTTAGCATACATTTGACATTATGAACGTGTGTGATTTTTTTTCTATTCGTATTCGTATTCGGCCGAATAGTTGGTCCCGTTATTCGTATTCGGCCGAATAGTGAAAATCACTATTCGGTACAGCCCTAATATATATATATATATGTATACCATTTATATAACAGTAGGGAATCAGATGCGAACAAACCCCGAATCCTCTCCTCTAACCAACAAGGCTGCGAGATTGATCAGAATTTTAAAGAGGTTTCACTGTTTGCAATTCTCTTCATATACTGACTGTGTTTGAGGTCTGGTGCAGAACGGAAAAAGAATTATGTTCTTGTATCTTTGGTAGACTGTACATATAGCATTCGCAATAGCAACAGCGAATTCCACGCCACAGAAGCACAATAAAATGGTCGCTACGAATTATAACGAATAGAAAACTCGGGTAGAGT